GTATACAAGCTCGAGGGCTTACATCAACTCCTGTCATCCATTTAACGGGTACTCCTTGCCTGGTGAAGAAATCCTACCAAAAATAATAATAATAATAATCATACCACTCTTCGAGAACATCACAATGCACTTACATAACCAATAGTTTGCAAGTTTAGTGGAGGCAGTCTTGTGTAGTTCACCAGGGGCGTCTCCACAACGGCATTCTCCTCAGCTTCACTTATGGAAGTCCAAGAAGAACCAGGGGCGAGCGAATATCGTACAGCAGGACCAGACGCGCTATCGTCAATAACAGCATTCGGGGATTCACCACGACCATCACCATCATCAGCAGGGGGAGAGCCTGGAGACGGAGGACTAGACTGCTGTACGGTGCCTTCACCAGGTAGAGCCTCCTGGAAGACGGCAAGCATACTACAAGGACATCAAGTGAGGAGACCAACCTCAAACCACCAGGGATCAGTAAGAGCCTTGTACCCCTCAGCCCGGGACTGCAGTACGTGGGAATCAGCAGGTGTGGTCGTTTCGACCGACTTCTTCCCCTTTTTCTCCACACTTCGAGTGTTCTACATCATACCACAAATCTTTGAATCTATACACAATTGCACCAACTCACCCTATATTCCTCCTCCAGCATAAGAGCATGGGCAACGAAAGCCCCATAGGCCTCTTCACTGCGATCGTACACGAACTCGATAGTGATGTCCGTTCTCAGGGGACGTATGAGGCTACGGGCTTCCATCCTTATAGTAGGAAGACCACTTTCAGAGTCGATGAACGCCCGAGGCATCCCACTGAGCCTAACCTTGCATACTGATATCTACTATAGAAAAATAACCGCGAATTCCACGGCAGTAGATTCTTACGTAGTGTGTTCGACTGTCCCTCAACTTCTTGAGCCCGCACAACTTCTGTATTCTACTTACCTGATATGCACGTTGTTGGCAACAATATGAAAATTCTTAGAAACAATAATTTATTCGTTTCTATATACTTTCACCAGCGAGCTTGAAAGTTAACCTTCGCACTGTAGTAAAGCTTATACTACATATCATCGCGAGTTCTGTTTATT